AGAGAGAGATGAAGCAATAAAAAGAAAAGAAACTCTTCAGCTAAGTCTTCATTCCTCCTTTTTTATCTCTTTTTATCGCTCTCCTTTCTTTCCATTTAGGAGCCTTAACTGGGTCTCTTCCAAAGCAGTCATCATAGATACCTACCCTGAGCCTCTAGTCCTTCTATTATACCTCATCTTCCCTTTTGGAGTTTAGTCCAGCTCATTTGTTTTAAGTGATTCTGTTTCACTCCCCAACACCTATCACTCCCTACGTTTCAAAGCCAACTTACACAACATTTTGTAACAGTGACACAAAGATTTTTTTAAATTGCCTTTACAGAGAAAGACAAGTTCATTCCAATCTTTGTTTTCTACTAGTATTAATGGTGATGTCTCCTATCATTGGAGGCTTTTACATCTATTGCCACCCCTAACACACATCAACAACAACTCCCCGACCCCAACTCCTTATAGTCCATACCTTCTCTTGCTTCCTCTGTTAACTGTTCTTTTGGAAAATCCACATCAAAGTGATTACAAAGAGCCCTTGATATTGTTGTTGTCAAAGCTAGGGAGCCCTTCCCCCTTCTTCCATAGCTTTGCTCCCGGCCTAGTGATCTTATCCCGGGAGATATGTACCTGGAAAGGAAAAGGGAATGGACTGGAATAGGTCTGGCACATGAAGTATACCACGCAGCTTCTAGTGAGCACTGGCGCATAAAACTAATGTCACAGCTCAGCAAAAGGAAAGGATGAAAGGGCAAAGGAAATGTATTAGGACAATGCAAGTCACAGAAGAAAAGGTTTTTAAAAAAAGAAAAATCAAACACAGAAACAAGTAAAAAAAAAGTAAGGTTTTTGTCAGTAGAAACTATAGAACAGGACTGTCAAAGGCTGCCATCAACTCTGAGTAGCTAAAAGTCTGTGTTACTGCTGGACATTCAGCAGCAGAGTGAGGAGAAAAGGCAGAACAAGAGCGAGAAAGGAGTCCCTGTGGTTCTAAATGATTGAGGCAGCTGAAATAAACTCAAAACTACCCATTTGAAGGCTTCAAAAGGACAGGAAAACAGGAAAATTGGTCCTGTTTATTCCTCCCATCTTGGCCTCCCAGAGTGCTAGGGTTACAGTTGAGAGCCACCACACCTAGCCCCCAAATTTCTTTTGGCTAGCTGTTATATTCTCTGTTCACTTCTTTTTTGTTTGTTTGTTTGTTTTTTTTATTTCGGCATATTATGGGGGTACAGATTTTAAGGTTTCAATAAATGCCCATTTCCCCCCCCCAATGAAGTTGTTTTTGAAGGGAGTAAACATGAGTAAAAATAAACTGATGGAAATTTTTATAGACAGGCTCTGGCTATTTCAGTTTTTAAAAATCTTCATTTTCCCATCTGTGTTATGGCGATTTTATTACACATTCAGCACATCCACAGTAACAAGATGTTCCCCTGACAAATTAATCACTTTCCAAGCATTTTATCAGATAAATAAAATATCACCACAGGAGGGTAAAATCATCTCAATCAGTTGATTTAACCCCCAGACACTGAAATTACCACCCCCCATGCATACACACTCACACACTCATTTGCTTACACTCTTCAAAATACTAGGCGTGTAAGTCTGTTCACTTCTGAAAGTATGCTGTGTATTAGTATACAATGAGAGGACACTGTTTTCTAACAGTGATCAAATGACATAGGGACTATGAAAGCCACACTCCCTTCTTCAGGGTACCACTGCCTGTCCCTGAACATAGCTGCCTGCCCTGAACACTGCTGCCTACCACTGGACACCATGGTTTCTCCCTGGATGTCACTTCCTGGCCCTGGGCACCACTACCCACAGCGAAGCACTGCTACCTGCATCTGGGCACTACCTGGACTGCTTGACACTGTCCTTTAGTGCCCCAGCTGAAGCCATGGAGCACACAGGGCCACACAGAGTTCTGTACAACTATAGGAGAAGGGCTCTTTGCTCTTCTGGGTTCCAAGCTGTCAACATTGTTGCTCCCATTGACCATGGAGGCTCTATTACAGGGCCAGACCTATGGGTCCTGACTCCCCACCCCTCCTGCACGTGGTCTGTCCCACCAGTACCCAGACAAGCAGCAACACAGCCTAGGAGGACTCTGAGGTTCTTGGACCACACAAAACATACTAGTTATCTGTGCAACTCTGTCCTATTAAATTTAAGAGTAGGACACTTACATTGGAAAAGAAAAGTCAAAGCCTGTTGATCAAGTAACGAAGTTCTATATTTATGCAAATTAAGTGGGAACACAACAGAATGTATATTGGCATGTCACTCATGATACGTTGTTAATAGAAATGATGGCAGTCATACCACATCAACAGAAATAAAATTTCAAATGCAAATTTTAGGATAGTAAGGATAGAGATTGTGAGATTTGCAAAAGAAAAATGCCTTTTTCCTTATATGCTGACTCTCAACCATGTCACTTGGTATGACTCTAGTTAATTTTATAAGTGCCAATACTTGCTTCGTTTCTGCACCACTCCAGGGTTCTGTTTGGGGAAACCCCAGAGAAGTAAAGTGGGGTTGTGGCAATATGCGGTAGAGGACAGAGGACAGGATTTGGACCCTAGTCAGAATTCCACCTCCACCACTTGCCTGCTGTGCAAAACTTTACACAGAAGTGGTGACATGAAAGACGGAGAGAGAGCAAATTGGACAATGGGGATTCTGAATCAAATTTTCTCTTCATTAGCATTTGTTCTATTATTTGATCTATTTGAGATACAGGAAATCTCCACAGATCTGTTTCAGTTGCTGTCTCCCCAACTTCTGCTAGAAGTTGTCTTTCTCTCTTTTCCATAATCTGGTGACTAATAGTTTTACTTATGTACTTTGGCTTTGTTGACTGTAAGCTCCTTAAGAGTAGCATTTAATGAGACTTACTCAACTTTATAGTCTCAGTTAATACTATACACAAAGCATGTCTGATAAATGCTTATTGTTTGAAAGAGTAGTATTCAATCTCCAGATTTTCTAACAACTTTTTGAACTCTTCTCAGAGAGAGATGGAAATTAACAATTTTACGTTGTTCTGTTTTTAGGCACCCAATTTTGAAAGGAGAGGAGATGATTTGTACACAAATGTGACAATCTCGCTAGTTGAGTCTCTTGTTGGCTTTGAGATGGACATTACTCACTTGGATGGTCACAAGGTAAACAGACCAATTTTCCTGTTTTCTGTCCTTTTGAAGCCTTCAAATGGGTAGTTTTGAGTTTATTTCAGCTGCCTCAATCATTTAGAACCACAGGGACTCCTTTCTCGCTCTTGTTCTGCCTTTTCTCCTCACTCTGCTGCTGAATGTCCAGCAGTAACACAGACTTTTAGCTACTCAGAGTTGATGGCAGCCTTTGACAGTCCTGTTCTATAGTTTCTACTGACAAAAACCTTACTTTTTTTTACTTGTTTCTGTTGTTGATTTTTCTTTTTTTAAAAACCTTTTCTTCTGTGACTTGCATTGTCCTAATACATTTCCTTTGCCCTTTCATCCTTTCCTTTTGCTGAGCTGTGACATTAGTTTTATGCGCCAGTGCTCACTAGAAGCTGCGTGGTATACTTCATGTGCCAGACCTATTCCAGTCCATTCCCTTTTCCTTTCCAGGTACATATCTCCCGGGATAAGATCACTAGGCCGGGAGCAAAGCTATGGAAGAAGGGGGAAGGGCT